GGACTTCTGTTTCCTGAACTCAGTGCATTTGTGTAGACCACACCTCCTGCCTAAACAAGGTTCCCATCTCATCTCCACCTTTCATTTCTTCCTTTTTTTCAAGATTCCTGTCACATACCATCCCCTCCTCTGTGACACATTTCCTGTTCCTCCTCAGCTGAAAGTGTTCTCTCCCTCCTACTGTTTCCAAGAGCATTTTGTAGTGTTCTCTCCTTGGTAGCCATCATACCCAACTTTGTATCATTATGCTTACTTGTGTACATGTTGCATTGCCCCTAGTAAATGCAAGTTCATTGAGGCCAAGGATTTTTAACTTGTAGCTCCCATAATGAGCACATAGTGTCTAGCTCATCATAGGTGCCAAATAAATGTTTGTTGAATCAAAGAGCAAATCCAAGTCCTAGGATGCCTCCCTTTCACCTGTTCCCCCCCAACACACACATACCTAGTGTCTCTGTACTTGCTTAAGGTGTCACATGCAAAGTAGCAGTGACAGGAGTAGAACCTAGATATTCTGACTCCAAATCCAATGTTCTTTCACCACCTTGCCACCAGAAATTAGCATTGGGAGTTGCAAAAAGAAAAAAGAAATGGAGATTATAGCTTCAGAGGATCATGGGATTTTGAGCTGGAAGGGACCTAGTTCAATCCCCTCATTTTCTAGATAACAGAGAGTAAGACAGCTTATGCATTAAAAACTGCCATTTAAAATAAGTCATTGACTAAATTTTTTTTTCTTAAAGTATTTTTCAAACAGTGATGCCTTTCTTATATAATGTTGCAGGTGATTTTATTGCACACATTTTTCTTTTTAAAAAAATCCTTTCTGCCTTCCTTCCTCCCAAAAAAAAAAAAGGCAGTGGCAGGTATAAATTAAAATAATAATAAAGATTATTCTGGAAGGCCTGACCTGAAATTTGAGCCTTGCTGATTCATATCCAATCCAAGAAACTCTTGGTACTTCATACATAACAACTCAAGCCCTGTCAGTGAGCAGGTGACTAATTTAGCTACTCATGAATCCAAACCTTATTTCTACCACTAAATTGCCCTTTGGCACTGAGTTGGGTATGATGGCTACCAAGGAGAGAACACTACAAAATGCTCTTGGAAACAGTAGGAGGGAGAGAACACTTTCAGCTGAGGAGGAACAGGAAATGCGTCACAGAGGAGGGGATGGTATGTGACAGGAACTTTGTTCAATAAAAGCACATAGGATCATAGGATTTAGAGCTAGAAAGGACTTTTGTAATTAATCCACCCACTCTTTTACAGCTGAGGAAAAGGCTGAGCAAAACAAAGTAGTCTGCACAAGGTCCTGTCACCTACAGGCCTAAGAGGTAGATAGTAGTGAGTTAGAGGATGATGCTGCAGTAATACTTTATATTTGTATAATTCACAAAATCCTTTTAACACTTATCTCATCTGATCTGCATATAACAGCTCTATGAGTTAGTGGGGATAGTACTGTCCATGTTTTATAGATATGGCAGAGACAGGAATCCTACCCATCTTCTTGTTCCAAGTCTAACAATCTTATAGTGGGTACAAAATAGGGGGATTATTCAAAGGTTCCTGTGGACAAAGTTTACTGAAAGTCTTATTTACTATTTGAAAACAAGTTTGTGAAACAAAAATCACATTGTGGCTGATTGAAAAGTTAGGTTAGCAAGTCAGCAAACAGCTGCCCGGCACTTGGTCTATTTACTTTCTCAGTGTTTCCCAAGAACAACTGTAATTCCACTGTACTATGACAACTGTAAGATGAAGAGGCATTGAACAGCTGCCAGGGAATTAATAATAACACCCTGTTCTATATGCTCTAGTTCTTCCTATTCAGTGAGAAGCAGGCTTTTTCCAGGTTCACTGTGCATGGTCTTTTGCAGTGAGGAGGGGAAAGCATGAATTGTTAAATTTTCTTATAATAGGTTTGTTGAAATAAGTCTGCCAACTTAGTTATCACCAAGCATCTATGTACTTCCAAACCTTCTGTTGCACTATAGATACAAATATTATTCAATACTGTGAGCTAAATGAGAGCTTGTATATAATAGAAGGCTGAAACAGGAATCAGAATATCTGTGACTTCTTTCTAGTTCTACTGCAGAACAGCCTGTCTGACTTTGATGCTCATGTTGAATGAATAACCTTGGGCAAGTCATTTCATTTCCTCTCCCAGGATCCATTTTCTCCTCCATGAAATGAGGGTATTGAGCTAGATGGTGTCTAAGTTCCCTTATAGTTTTGATGTTCTATACAGTCATCTTATTCATGAACACAATGAACAATATGTAGTTCGTCTTTCATTATAATCAGAAAAATGATGATACCCTACTACTCAAATTATCAAGAGCATATGCAAATGTTGAAGAAAAACAATCCAAGAATCCATTTCCTCAATACCTCCAACCGTCACCAAATGGCAAATATTGAGTTCTCCCTATCCTCAGGGCTAATTATTCTAGGCTTTTAAATATTAATAAGCTGGTTTCGCTGATAGATTATTGCTATTATTAGATTCACTACAGGGTAATATAACCACTTTTCTTCATCCTCTCCTTATTCTCTTTTATTTTAATTTTTGAAGAGGCAAGTATTTCTACGTTATCTATCCTTCCTAACCCCCCCCATAGAGCAAATTTAAAAACAAACCCCTTTATAAATATCTATTTAGTCTAGCAAAACATTCCCACATTAGCTATGTCTAAAACTGTCTCTTTCTTCATCTTAAGTTCATCCCTTCTCCATTAGGTGGTGATGATGCTGGACTCAAGGTTTATCATTGCACTGATCAGAGTTCTAAAGTCTTTATGTTGTTATCACCGAGTAAACTGTTCTACCAGTTTTATTCATTTTGCTTTGCATCAGTTCATAAAGGTCTTCCCAAGTGTCCTCTGACATGATTCATCATTTCTTAGGACACAATAATATTCAATTACATTCACATACCACTGGAAATTAGCCTTTCCCCAGTAGCCTCTCAGAGTTCTTTGAAAGTGTGTTTGTACATTTGTGACTTTTTTTTTTTTACCAAAAAGTGTCTTCACCCCACCTCTGCCAGTACAGGGAAGCAGCAGCTAATGGGCAGGCAGATCCCAGGTTAGATGTATCCTGCTCTTTACAGCACCAGGTTTCATTCTTTTGGAAACTGTTCGTCTTACCTATCCTCACTCCTCAAACCCTGCCCCCTTTTTTGTCTGTCCCTCTCTCCTCTCCTGGAATATGCCATAGAACATATATAAAACTGCTCTGCTTTTCATATGTTTTACAATACTGTGTCTGTGTAGGTACATAACATACAAACGGTGGTTTTTCATAGAAGAAAAACATGATCAGAGCTCTTATCTTCTCTTAGTCCTTCTCTTCCTAACTAGTCCGTGCAAATGCCCAAGTCCTAAAATTGCTTTCACTGTCTATGGTACTTTACCTGGTGAATACAAGCTGTAAGTATATTTTTACACCAAGGACAACTGTAAGATGATATGTGTACAGTCTTTCAGCTTTAAAAGTTATGTTGGAAAAGAAGTTCTGAAAAAGGCACAAACAGACCAAATTTTGTTCCTATCAGGAAATTTAATATATGCTTTAAAAATATAATCTTGTAAAATTTAATATAGGTATTAAAAAATTCAAATAGAAGTCCATAGTTTCACTTACAATTCAGTTTTTTGTGATTCATATGTGAAATGTTCATGTTCATTAATGATTACATAATACAAAGGAATTTTTTTAAAGTTATGTTGGTAAAATGATGGATTTTTAATCCATTTAATGATCTCCTCCAGAAGTGTCCCTGACTTATTTACAGAAACAGCTTGTCTTTGACAGATGTTGATTTCCATGGACAGCACAGCAGTTTATTGTTCTTTTAGATGCTTTTTATCTACCAACCCATTCCTACATGTACTTGGGAGTGGAGATGGGGGGAAATTGCTGTGAAAATGTTTCATATTTAACTTTTGAAAAGGCTGCTGTCCAGAAGTGAGATCTGAAATCAGCAGATACTCCACAGGGTTTAGAAGAATATAATCATTCATGAAACTCAGTTCTTAAATCTTTTTCAGACTAAACCATGGCAGCCATTTTGAAAAATTGAATTAGATATGGAAAAGCTCCAATGAGGCTTCACTTTATTCACCTTGAGCTGTAGTGATGTGATTCATCAGGGATTAGATGAATAATCTCAAGAGTTCCCTTCAGATTTGTGAATCTTAAAAACTTTAGTTTTAGCTGTAGTTTGTGAAGCCAGTGATAAAACATTGTGGAAGTAGACTGTTGTTATAAATATGTGAATAAAATTTTAACTTCAAGTATCAGTTCTTTGGAAATGCCAAATGTGTCTATATATTCATTTTTCCCTATTTGTTTTTATTGCATCTCCCACAATTTTCTTCTGACTGCAGTTATTTATAATACCGCAAATGCCACTTGTGTTACAAGTTAGCTGACATTTTTCAGAGTTCTGAGTGTGATGTGACATCCAGTTTTCAAGAAAAAGAACTTTGGTATAATTTTTTTTTACTACATTGATGGATTATAAATAATGTTTTAGTCTTAGGAGCAAATCACTTTCCCTCTCTGGGCCTTTTCTGCAGTAAACGGGGATCAGATAAGATAGATAATTTCTAAGGGCCCTTGTAGCTCTAAGTTTCCGTTTAATACTTAATCAGTTTTGTGGATAGAAGGAAAGGAACTAAACCAGTCCACAAAATATAAACATGATTTCCTTTTATAAAAAATGGCATATTCCAAGAAAAGGTTTTTATCTTTTTTTTTTCACCTCAGGTAATAACCATACAACTTGTGTTTTGTTTCTTGGTTAAGGCCTTTTTTATTTTTTTAAAGGATTAATGAATTATCAGTGTGTTTCTCATATCTCTGTTAAGACTGAAGTCTTTGATTTCTCTGGGAATTTTTGGCTCTAAAGTAACAACAATCACATGCTAAGAAGAGGTAATGGTAACAACTCAAACCTATTTATGTCTTTCCTGTGTTTATAGGGTGGGAATGACTATGAAATCTACACAGATTCCCGAACAGTAGGCTATTCAGTGACCAGCCCAGAGGACACACAAAAAATCTGTGAGGAGCTTTTCTTATAGTCTTTTACTTCCTGACCTTAAGACTGAAAGAAACAAAGTCATCTCAAAACTAGAGAAGATAACAAGCCTCAGAAGACTAATGCATCACCATTTCAAACTCAAGAAATCCTCCTCTGCCCACCTCCAACATTCACTTGGGCTTCGTAGCATGTGTTGAATTCCTGTGAGCAGTGGTCAGAAAAGAAAGAGAAACATATCTCTGCTCCTAAATTAAAGTTAGATCCCATCTTTCATCTTTTTATCTGGAAAAACTGAGGAAACAGAATAGTTCTGATATGTGGGTCCTAATGCAACAGTTGACTCAAAGGAACATCTAAGACAGTCTTTTCCCATTTTCCAGAGCAAAACTAAGATGCGTAATTACAGTGTACATTTGTCTCTTTGGAGAACTTCTTATAATGGAAAAGGAAAGGTGACAGTTTAGCTACAAGGTACAAATTGACCCAGTAGGGCTCCTGTGACAGAACGGTTTTACAAACCCTTCCCAAATTTAAAGTTGTGCACATAATTGGACCTCTAAAACAGCAGCATAGTATGGGAGACTGTTAGCTAATGTTTCTTACGTGAAAAATTGTGCAGTTCAAAACTTCAACCCACCACTCACTGAACGGAAGCTGCTCCTACTGACTTTGGGAATTTTATTAAGGCTCCTTGCTTTGCAAAAACTCCATTATTCAGGTTGAATGACTTGTGTCCTCTTCTTAACCTCCATTCCTTTCTGTGAAGCTGATTTCATATGACCAGTCAGATAAATGGCTAGATGACAGCCAGTAGAAAACCCGTCCCTCAGCCCGGCACTGCTGGAAACTCTGGAATTGACTTCTATTTGAACAGCACAGCTAGTTGGCCTGCTGTATCACAATAACATCTGTCACTCACTGCCTTTGATGGGAGAGAATGGAGAACATCTTGCTAGCAAGTGGTTGCTGAGGCCAGAATAGCCTTCTTCTAGGAGCCTGCCCTCATGGGCGCCTCAGTTTACAAAATCCAAGCTGGTCTCTTGAACAAAACGGTTCTAGAATTCTCCCCAGCCTTCAATAACCTTGTTATTCTTAGTTAGGCTGGCTGAGAAATGCTTCTACCTCCTAGCTACTTTAAAAGGTAACCAAAAAAAAAAAGGCTAACTGACCAATTAGCAATGTGAAGTTTCTCATCTTTTCTACTGTTATTTATTAGTCAAAGATGCTATCTACTATTGATAAACTCTCACATAGGATTGAATACTTGCTTTAGAAGGAATGGGAGCATCTGTGGTTTCACTTATTTTCATTAACTGCTTCAGGACTTCCTTATTTGAATCTAATGAAAAATGGGACAAAATCAGAAACCCCTTCATCCGTATTATAACATACTCCTAGTGAATAACAATTTTCCAGGAAAAATGTACTGATCTTTCCAATGAGATGGTTTAAATGCCCTTTTAAAAAAAAATCTTAATAAAAGAATAACACCTCAGGCACTTCCTCTCTTTGCTGCTGATAGAGTTGAAGGATAGGTAACCATAACAGCAGCACTAGCACCAGCAGTCTACTGCCAGGACTTTGTACCAATTAGATTTCCTATTGCCTCGCTTCCTCTCTAGTGCCAGCACTGGCAAAACTAATTAATATCGATGTGGCCCATAGCATGCAAGCAAGTACCAGGGAAGGGAAGACTAAGCCCTGCCTAGCTCCTGCTATCACACTCCTAAGCATAGGTCTGGTGAAAAGATTGGGGGTGGGTGGGACCCATGAATGTTCTCTGCTCCCACTCAAAGTGTTGTACATGGCATTTCTGATTAGTAAGTAACAGTCAGAAAATGGGACCAATGAAAATCTTGTTTTCTTTAACACTGCAAATGACATGATGATGTACAAAAAGATTTCTTTTCCAAATCAATAAAATTTTACAGTTTTTAGCAAAAGCACCACTGTTTTGACATTACTCAGCTAACTTGAGTTCAGGAGTTAAGGTTTGCAAGGTGCCGGGCAATTACAAAGTGAGTCATTTGATTGCTTGTGCTGTACAGATGAGACAGCCTAAATGTACCTCCCATCCCCATTTGGTATTTGGTTGAACTAAAAGAAGAAGGTAGCCCTTAGAAAGGTTTAGAAGCAGTTATTTTCTCTGCTTCCTTCCATTTTTATTACTTTATAAACTAGTAGTTAAACTTCACCTCCATCTTAGGACTTGCCAGCACTGACTTGACCAGCAGCTTTCCCAGGACCGATATCTATTTCTACTATGACCTTTGACTCCTGCCTCTATGTCAGATTTTATCAGTTCTTCATTTCCAAACTGTTAAACACCAAATGGAAGTAAAATTTCCCTTATATTTTGCTTAGGCAACAGATCTTGTGACCTAGGTTTAGTCTAAATTCTAGAATAACACCTTATATTCATAGAGTCATTGAATTTTAGAGCTGGAAAAGACCTTGCCAGGATTCATCATTAGGTCTCCTCAGTGTATGGTAAACCATTTCTGACTATTGTCAGGGGAGTTTTGCAAAGCATAATGAAAATAAGCTTTAATTTACCCCAGATTAGCCAAGTAAACACCTTTCTACTTTTAACTACTTGCCTCCTAAGATAAACATTTTAATACAAGAAAACCAAAGAATTATTTCTAGCTCCTCAAACCCAAACAAAAACTGAACCAGGCTGTGTTTCCCCTACATGTGCGCAGGCGTTTATGATAAATCTCCTTTATGTGGGACATTGCTCTTTGCATGACACCTTTTTGTGAGGTATGCTTCACTTGCAAAGAAACTAGCACATGAAAAACATTAATAGACAACAGTACCTTGGGAAAAATTATACCAAGTGAAGCAAACCATGTAAAGGACAGCACCTGACCATAGACATTTTCCCCAAATTTTTCTCCTCCTTGAAGAATTGAGGTAAGTATTTGTAAATTTTAAAGCTGCTTTGCTTTCAGGAGGAAAAGGATATAGTGTAGTAGGAACAGCTCTGCCTTTGGAGACATGGAGCCTTGTATTCAAATCCCGCACTTAATACCTCTGTGACTTTGGTCAAGTCACTTAATCTCTCAGGGCCTCAGTTTCCACATTTCTGAAAGAAAACAGTTAATCTAGATAAACTACTTCTAAGTTCCCTGCCAGCCCTAAGTCTATTATCCTTATGAGGTATTCTACCCAGGCAAGCAGTGTGTAGGCTCAGTTCCTAACCTATGAAAACATCTTAGATGCATAGTAGGCACCTGGATGGCAAACAAAACCTGGAAAACACAAGAGTCTCTTGGAATTTGCTAGAACTTTGACAAAGTGGCTTCTAGGTGTGTTTCTATTTGAAATAAATCTTTTGTATGCAGCCTCAAACACCAACAGGGTCCAAAAATCCCAGGTCAACTTCACTGAACTTTAGGTTATCAAACATACAATACCCCTATGATCATGGCAAATTGTTTTAAGTGATCTGAGCCTCAGTGTCTTTATCTGTAAAGTAAGAAGGTTGGTGGGGCTCCTCCTTTAGGTCCTGTCACCCTGGGGGAAAGAATCAGGGATGGGAGAAGAATGTACACCTTTGACCCAGAATGCTAGTCCCTACCTTCCAAAGCAGAGAATAAAAGTTACAGATAAGAAGAGGAGCTTGAGAAACCTGGGATCTGAAGCAATAATACCACCACCTTATGTTTGCACAATGCTTTACAATTTACAGAGTGCTTATATTCAGTCTTCCCATCAATCCTTTGATAGCTAGTATACTCATTTCCCAGATAAGGTAACTGAGGTTCAGGAAAACAAGGCAACTGAGGCCCAGATTCACACAGATAATGTGGACAATTTATCTATTAATGTTTTTATTGTCCCAGCTTCCTTTGCAAGTGAAGCATACCTCACAAAAAGGTATCATGCAAAGAGCAATGTACCATGTAAAGGAGGTTGAATGATAAGAGTATCATGATGTAGAATGGGAAGGAACTATGCGGTTCACCTAATTGAACCACACCTACCCCCTTTATATACACATATACATACATACATATATACATATATACACACACACATTATATATATATATGGAAAGCCTGGGGGCAGCTAGGTGGTGCAGTGGATACAGCACCGTCCCTGAATTCAAATCCAGCCTCAGACATATAACACTAGCTGTGTGACCTTGGGCAAGTCACTTAACCCCATTGCCTAACACCCCCCCCAAAAAAAAGAACTGGAATTTGAGCTCAGGTCTCTAACTCAGATCCTATATTTTTTCCACCCTATCACACATTAGCACTTCAGTGACTTAATCTGTGCTCATTCCATCTACCAAGGTTAATAAACCATTCCGTGCCTTAGCTGGCAATCTCTAGGAGCTGCTGAAACCCAAAAGTTCTTTACCTGGTGGCCACCGTTTGGTGATGATCCTTTGAGCATAGCCAGTCTAGCTACCAGACACACAATTTGTCTTGCTCTAGTATGTCCTATAATCTAGTTGCACTGATAAATGTCTGCTGATGACAAACCCTTTGCCTGGTACAGTAGAGAGAATGCTGGATGTAGACTCAAGGACCTGAGTTACTTACCCTCTCTGGGCCATAGCTTCCCCCATCTATCACTGAGGAAGGGATAGAACCAGATCAGAAGTGTCAAAATATCAGCCTGAAAAACTTGAGTGGGGCTGATCCAGATTAAAATGTAACTGGGAAATGTTTAATCAAATAAAAATATAACACAAGCTAGATAATGTTAATTTATGGTTTTCTAAGTCAGTGAGCTTCTGTTTCAAGGGGCTAGATGATGTCTGAGGTTCCTTCCAGCTCTAAATTTCTATTCCTATGACTATAGTCTTTTTTATCACAGTGTTTCTAGCATTCAACCCCTTTCAAATAGGGTGATTCTTACAGAATAAATGAGAAACAATGACAAAAGTTAAGAAACTTCAGCCATTTTCAACAAAAGTTAATAAGCGTTTAATTCTTGAACTTCAGTTTAAATCATCTGCAAATAAGCATTATTTAAAATGATTTTTATCATTTTCTAGAAACCACAAAGTTCAGAATATAGCATACATTTTTCCTTTTAAATAGCAACCACTGAAAATGCAGAAAACCAATTACAAAGAAAATCCAAAAGCCTCATTTGCCTAAAAAAATGTATATATATTTACAATACTTGCAATCTTGTAGCAAAGACAAGCGCACACATGCAGTTGCATCTGGTTTAAGGCAGAAACCTTAGTCGCTAAAAAAAATTACTAAACATTTACCATATCACATTTAAAATAAGACACCATTCAAAATGTGTTTAAAATGTTCACTTTAACCAGGTTGTCAGAAAGCAAGCTACTACCCCTTAGTCAGCTAGTGTTTCAGCACAAACCTTCAGAGATGGTTTTGTTTTCTAAACAGGAGCCCCCATTGCTCCACCTTTCACAGTATAATGGTTCGAACAGAGCACGCGACGCCCAAACCACTGATGTGGATGCAAACTTGACATGTCAGCATGAAAGGCCACAGGCCTTGCTAGGAGTGGAGAAGTCCTCATACTTGTTTTAAAGCTCTGCAGGAGAATGAGGGATTCTGTCTCACGCTCAGCACAGCTAAAACCGGATATGAGCATCCAGATGGGATCCTGGGATTCACATAAGGGCTGGGCCACCCGATCTCCATCAATCCCTCTTCTCTGGCCACTGGCTGGGCCCTCCTGCTTCCCCACCCAGAGAATTATGCTCTTTGAGAAAGGCACTGAAACATTCCTAAGAATCCAGATTCATTCCCCAAACTCAACTGCTTCTTCCAAGTCTCCATCATCCTCAGGTCAGCCCCATTCTAATTAATCAGTAATTCTGGTTGAAGGCTAAGGCAGAGGCTACATCTAAGCAAAGGACACTAAGAGGTGACAAGCTGAGTCATTACAGGATTGGGACATCAGGGAAGAAAATCCAAACTGCCTATCATGGTTCTTACTGGTCCTCTGTCCCAGAGGTCTAACTTGGTGGATAAAGTACCAGCATACACAGGTACAGGGGGAAGCATCAGTCTATGTGGAGGCTGGGGCTAACAGCTGCCCAGCCAAAATGTTAGGAAAAATATCACATCCCAAGTTGCCCTTTCTACATCTCTCTGGGCTCAAAGTTTAATCCTCCACTCAGCTACTGAGCCTCCTCTTTTTAAAAAAATTAATACATTTCAGGTGGTAAGGAATCAAGCCATTTCCCCTCACCCCTGTTCTCTTGCCCCTGGCCCTCCAGTCCTTTCTTCAGGAGATAAATCACATCTAACAATTTGACCCTTGAGTTCCACTCCCTTCCCACCCTTTGGCCGAAATTTACTCATAACTCATCTGTCTGGCCCCAAAACTTGCCCCACCTCCCCTCCCGGAACAGTGTCCTTCAAGACAGCCAAGCTGGGGAGAAGAGAGGAAGGAGGGGTACCAGGAGGCTGCCTAGGAACTGATGACATGTCCCGACCAGGTCTCATGTTTGGTGCCTGGTGCCAGGTGAGTGATAACAACTTCCACAGCCTGGTGCTTCTCATTCTTTGGTGGAATTGAACACATCTTGTAGGTGACTTCATCTCCTTCCATAGGCACGTATTCTCCTTCAACACTGTCAGGAAGTGGGGGGGTAGGAGGAAGGAAAAAAATTCAATGGTCAGACATGGAATGTGTCCCAATATACCACAGAAGGCTTTCCCAACTCAGTCTCATAACAGGGAAGCCGGGTCTGAAAAGGCCCATCAGAACAAGGGACAGGATCCAAGCCTTCTGCCCATCCTAGGGACCAGACAATTATGCACTATGACTAATACAGTAAGACTGATTTATAGTGTGGTCTATGGATGCCACATCTCAGATATATACATGTGAGCCCTGATTTACAGAGACAAGGGGGGGAAGTAGGAGAGGCATTCCTGGGAATGCCCTCCCTTCCATTGGCTTGTGGGGGCCTTGCAAAAATTTCATTCCCTCA